CGAATAACTAAATACCCTATTCAAAGTAAACGCTGTCAAACTAGCCTGATCGTAAAACAACGACATTTAATTAGGTATAGAGGAGTTTTTGCTTTAGATGATACATAAAATTGCCAATAACAGTTTCGAACGTTGAACTCTCGCACTTTTACACAATTATGATTAAAGATTTTATGGTCATCTTGATGAAATGTATTTTGCTGGATGTACAAATAAACAAACGTTGAAAGTTAGCATTTAGTGTCCGATAATTTTGAGCCTTTTTTCGTAGCTTTTTAGCCCCAGGAATCCGTTATATCCGATTATTCCTTTTCCACGCAAACGCTAAAAAAATATGAATGAAAACAATCATTACCTTCATGTGTTCAGAGCCGGCTTCTATCTCAGTGCCAACAATTTGCCTGCCATCCGATTTGTTGATACTGGTCCACTAGAGATTTAATTTTGAGCCAAAGCCACGACCGAACAGAAGTGGATATATAGGCAACTGACAAGACGGCCAATAATTGACACAGAAAACAAACTCAGTGTCACTGCAAGCATTGATCTCGGTACCAAAGGCAATAAAGGAATATTGCGTGGAGTTAGGTGTCTTCTTTCTTGCTAGATTATTAATCGCTGTAACTCAAAGCGCGAATTGCTTTTGAATAAATAATGACCGGAGAGCTCCGAAAACTGAGAGGCTAATTGAGATGGTCTTTGTGAGGCCGGGTAAGAGCTACTAGCTACTTTCCTCATAAATGGGAAAAAACAATGCCGGGTATTTGTATGATATTTCCTGTTAGTTGAGTGAAAACCGTTTAATCGCACAAAAATACTCAGTTTGGATGGTTTTTCATTGTGCCTATAGTTATGAATCCACAAAACGAATTGAAAATGCTAATATCGTTTGACGATGAGTTTTGGTTCGACCGATTTACGTTAACTTTTGAATGCAGCGCACATTTGATGCAAAGAATAATCGCGTATTTCTTTGGACCAAATCCTGGTTTATTAGAATTCTCAACACTGCAATTTTGAGCAAAACATGACTGGTCGCTTAAAAACACAAGTAGGTTGAATAAATCTTCATTTTACACATACACGCTAAAACCCAACGGGGCGGCAGTATACATTAATTCATGTGCCTTAATTGTAACTCGGCATAAATTGAAGACATGAACTTCTTTTATTCTTTCTCACAGATCTCAGTGGCCAAAATGCATTCAAATGCGCAGAAAAAAAATTTCGTGTTTCAAAACCGCCATGCATTTCACTGAAAACAAAAACAACAGCGAGCTTTTATCACCTGCTTGATTGCCTAGATTTCCTCTCATTTTTTTTCTTTTTTTTGTTTTGTTTTACTGCATGATATTATTTAGGGAAATGAATTGGACGCATCAAAACACGTTCTCAACTCTTTATTCGAGAGGCATGTTGAGGGTAACTGACGGTGCTTTTTTTATGGATAAAATTTTAACTTACCATATATAATATTCGATGGCTCTAGCATTACACCGACTGGCGATGCACAGTTAAACCAACACCAAAAAATCGAACATATATATTTATATGACATTCAGTGGCTCTGAACAAGAGCGGATTACTCTTGAAAAACCATCTTTCATGGTTACCATTTACGTCATCCCTCAGTGGATGATAAAATCAATTACTCCCCCATGCACACAACACCATTAAACTCTTTAGAAACTACCCCATATATTTTCTTCGGCATCTTCAATCCAGTGATCCAAACGTTTAGGAGACCGGGCATAAGAGAGGACTGGATTTGGACAGGGTATTGTGGCCTGTTAAGCTATCTTGCTAAGCAGAAAAGATACACGAGTGAAATGAGCAGATTTACTGAATGGCAAAAGTGTCACGTCCATCAGAAACCAACTCATACTTAATTCATCGAAGTCAAAAGCATATGATAAGAGGAAAATTGTTTCAGAAACAACAGGCTCCTTACAAAAAATAAAGTAAGATAAAATGAATATTTCATTCTTTATATACCCGAGTTCTGCATGTTCAGCAAATCATTGTTGCCTTTAAGACCTACTCTTGAATGCGGAGTAGTGCGTTTTTTCTTGAAAAAAAAAAGGGAGTTATGAGTTAGGAATCTGTGTTTTCGTTATATCCCGGATATTTTGACTGGTTCTGTAGAGTTTCTGTATTGCATGGTTCAATACATTGGCTTTGTATTTTATGGAACCTACATGTATCATAGTCGATTGTCAAAAATCATATTTAAAAAATCAGCCTGAGAAAACAGTCGATATTTCGCGACGCCACCACTGGTTTCGCCGCGTATGACGTCTGCACGAGGAACGACTGCAGAAATTCCATACTGATTCCATAACGATGTCACCACCCTCATCTGGGTTGTGCCTCTCGTTGGTTGAAACAATATTTCTCGCGGCAAAGGCCAATCAGAACGGTATCCAGACCTAGATAGTGACGCGTCATCAGTATGGAATTTCTGCGCTAGTTCCTTAGGCCCAGTTCAAACGTCCGACTT